CGGGCGGGCGGGGTGGGGCGAGTGGCGCACCCCCGAACCTCGACTGACTACGCACAGTACTGCGTCACGGGGGTCGATGAGCGTTGGTACAAGTATATTTACCGAAACCACACCCAGTTTTCTCGATTCTCGAAAGTTTTCAGTGCAATATTTTGCGGCGAAATGTCGTAAATTATGAGCTGCTTTTATTTGAGGGCACCGTGCTGTGTCGCGTCGTGGCGTTGCTTACGCGCGCGTGTCGTCGGCTTAGGGGAGACAGACGGACAAAAAGTGCAACTTGGCGGTATGCGCGGGCAGAGCGGGTGGTAGCGACGGTCACTGAGTGGACACCAGCGAGCGCCTCGGCCAAAGGATGGGCTGGGCAGTCGAGGCGAAGCACGGAGGCCGGTGACAGCGCCTCCCTACATCACTCCATACCCACACCAAGCAATCAGCAAAAGTGATTAATGATGAGGTATGTTTCCTCTCAAGCTCGTCACAACCTATTCTGTTTGATGTACCAACAAGGGAGCCCCGCCAAGTGTAAATTCCCGATTTTTATTCTACTTTGGGAAATTGTTGGTCTAAATGTGTCATCGAAGGACACATCAAAAATTTTTGCTTAAATCCATAATTAGGGGTTATTTTGGGCGTTCGTTCCAAAAGCTGCTATTTCAACAATTTTTTATAATTTTCAAGCTGCTATTTCGGGGTTCCCTTGTAAGACAACAAACTGTCGAAATTACATTGTTCACCCATAAAACCATTTGGTTGATTGATTCGTCCAAATCTGGGTCGCATGAGACACAATTTTGTTTCTGAAACCAACTACGATTTGGTACCTTCATTTGTAACTAAATTTGGTCACGTCTATCATTAAATACTAAGGTAATTTGACTAAATTTTTTCATCAGTATGATTAAAACCTAGCAGTCTACAGAGCCATAATTTCGTCGCAGTTCTGAATTTGGCTGCCTTGACTAAACGGTTCTCTGGGTGTTGAATGACTTCAAAAATGTATCGAATTAACAGATTTGAATTTAAACTGAAAACACTTCTCTTCTGTTTCACAGGAATTGATTGCAAGGCATCCAATTTGGAGCATTCAACGATGTATGAACTCAAACTTGCCATCTCCGTATCTCCACATCCACTAAGAAATTGACTGGTAGTTTTCGGACCAGACAAAAATAACCGTCCATCCAAAAGTTAGTGCCAACCTCCCACCACATTTGTCAAACTTCAGAGACCGAGACAACATGATGGTCCAGGAGAAGCTTCAGAAGCCTCATGAATGTGCTGTATGTAACAGGAAATTTTCGCAAAGAAGAAATCTGCGTATACACCTTAGAACCCACTCAGGAGAAAGGCCGTTTGAGTGTGCTGTGTGCAACAAGAAATTTACGCTAAGTAGTAGCCTACGTGGACACCTTCGAACCCACACAGGAGAAAAGCTGTTTGAGTGTACTATGTGCAACAAGGAATTCTCGAGGAGTTGTACTCTGCGTGAGCACCTTAGAACCCACACAGGAGAAAAGCCGTTTGAGTGTGCTGTGTGCAACAGGAAATTTTCGAAGAATAGTAACCTCCGTAAACACCTTCGAACCCACACAGGAGAAAAGCTGTTTAAATGTACTGTGTGCAACAAGGAATTCTCAAGGAGATATAATCTGCGTGAACACCTTAGAACCCACACAGAAGAAAAGCCGTTTGAGTGTACTGTGTGCAACAAGGAATTCTCGAGGAGTTGGACTCTGCGTGAACACCTTAAAACCCACACAGGAGAAAAGCCGTTTGAGTGTGCTGTG